CCTTGCCATGCAAACCCAATACAATCTCCCACTTATAGTTTTATTTTTAATTTTTGGAAGGAGTATGGCTGGAAAATCTGAATATTATGATGATGTCTCAGGTTTTATTCACCAAATCTCATTTGGTTGGTCAGCTAGAAATTTTTGCATGGGCTGTAGTGTGTTTTTTTTGGGAGCACGAAAAAAATACAGTGAAAGCCACCACCTATGCCTGAAAAGTTTGACTGTAAAGTTAAGGGGAGCATGGATGCTTTGGGGCAGAGGGACTCCTGATCAGTGGGTTACTCTGGCAGAATGGAAAGGCTGACAGGGTGCACTGGGCAGGTTTGTAGCTGCCTTTGAAGAAGGGAGGAGAAAAGACCAAGGTTTTTTGGGACTGAGATGGTTTTAATAGGTTTACTCCTTTAACTCAGGCTCTGTCACTTTAAATCTCGAGTTCTCCCCACATTTTTTCCTCCCTCATTCCCTTCCTCAGCCTCCTTCCATGCAGAAACAATTAAACTGTCCCTATGTGATGGCTGGTAGGTCTGGCTGAGAACATTTGCATCCTAGTAAAAACAAAAAGAGGTGAGGCTGAACTGAAGCAACATCTTCAGGACTGCAGGCAGCAGCTCATAGTTTGGGTTCCTATTAGCTGATGTGCAGCTCCACCAAGAAGGCTCAGATGTTAGCAGGATGCTGTGTTGCTCGTGGAAAGACAACCTGACTCATGCTGGTAAAGTATTTTGAAGTGGTAATGTTGGATGTCTGTGGGCTTCTCCTGCTCTGGGTGACATGAAGGCTGAGCCCACTGTCCCCTTTGCCACATGTGTAAGACAACCTGATTTGCCTCCCCAGCCTTGCAGCATCTCAAGAGTAGCATGCACGCACACACAAGGAGCTTGGATAAAATTAGCAGTGAAGTCAGGAGGATGGATAGGTTAACACTTTGTACGCTGCAATACCTTAACACTACATTCGTGTCATGTTGCTCTTTTCTGTGTTTCCAGATAACCAAATTGAAAATTGACAGCAACCCTTTTGCTAAAGGATTCCGGGACTCTTCCAGACTCACTGATATCGAGAGGTAATGGGGACTTTCTGTTTACTTTCCATGTAGATAAGATAAAGAGAAGAGCGAGTTTGTAGGAAAAGCATCCTTTCAACTCCCGAGAAGCTGTGCATTTTAATGTTATCTTGTTGCATAGAGTAAGCCTACTTTACCTCCTTTAAAAATACTTATAAACTTTATAAAGAAAGAGCTGTTTTTAGTTTTGACATCTGTTCCAGTTGGGGCTGATATATTCATCTTCCTGAGGGGGCTTCTTGAAGGGGGAGAGAGGGTCAGTTTTACAACTTCAGAATGAAAAGCTTTTTTCTTATCGTGCCATTTAATCCTACTGAGGGCTGTGAATTGGGTCATGGGGAAACAAGGGCAGTGGTCCTGTGAAAAACATCTTTATAGCTCCCCACTGCTCCACACAGTGGAAAAGAAAGAGGGGAGCTTCCCAAAATACACTTCAGCAGTCCCAGACACTGAAGTCAGCAATTATTGCCATCAGAACAAATCCCATCACTCCCACTCTGACGACAAAGATGCCATTTTTGTTTCACCAAAATTGTACTGCAGGCTGCATCAGGGGAAAGCTTTATCTGGAAACTGTTGAGTTTTGTGTGTGTACAGCTTATTAAAAAGTAACTGCTGCCACAGGGACAAAAGCATTTAACCCACAGTTGAGTAGGAAATAAACTTCAATCTCTTGATAGCTCTCCAACGTGCCATATTTTTATGATATCGTGTCAAATAGTTTGGCAAACGAAGCAAATCAAGCTGCCTGCGTCCTTTAGGCTGCAAGAGGTCTCGATGGAGATGGATATAGCACATCCAAATTTTCCTATGAGCACACAATCATGAAAGAAATTTTGGAGAGGCCAAAAGCCTCCAGGCTCCTGTGGGGAGATATCCAGATGTATCTGTGAATCATCTTTCACGGGTGCATATAGGGGACAAACTGCTCAATGAAGTCATATCCATACAGCTAGGAAAAGCCTTTATAGCATGTCAAAAGTACATCAATCTAAGCAAATCCATGGATGGGAAATAGTGGTATACTTTATACCTTACTAGTGACTGTATTGTGAGTGGTCCCTTGAGTAACTGGGTGAAAGGACAGTAATTTCAGGAAAGCAAGCTTGTAGACGACAGTGCACGCTTGCAAAGTTGCTAAAAATTGCTTCCTAAGTCAAAGTCTTAGTTGAAAACGGGAAAAAAAAATGAAGCAGATTTAATTAAAATAGCATAGCTTGCTGTAGGGACAGATTACTAAGGTAAATGATATCCAAAGCTCAGGTTTCTATGCAGTAAATAATCAAGGAAGGACCTGGAAGTAGAAATGGGACTTGGATTTTTCACATTTCGGTTTCCTTGCTTTACAGACAGGCAATATCTAACAACACAGCTTTGCAAGGGCTGAGTGAGTCTGAATATAGATAAGCTGGGAGAAAAACTTAGTTACCTCTGTGCAGATGAACCAACTATCATGGTGCTGGATATGAAGGGAATTTTTCCAGAGGACATCTTATTATAACAGCACATGGCATGGAGTCAGAAATGCTAAGCATAAACCGCAGTGCCCTTTTGTTTATTGATAAGTGCAAGAACAGAGCCTGAGACAGGCAGCCTAGCCCAGGCACAAACCTTGCCCTGAAAGATAAGGTAGCCAAATGTGAAACCTCCGATAAATAGAAGAAACAGAATGTGAAAAGTATTGAAATGACATTAAAACTCTGGTTTTGAAAGTCCCAAGTTTGGGTAAGGTCTTATTGTGACTTAAATGGGAAAGCTTAACCCTAAGTAGGGAACAACAGTATTTAAAAAAAACCCAAACCAAAACAAAAACAACCTGCTGCACAACACATCAGGTAATGAGATAGTAAAGGCTTAATGTACAAGAGGGCTGGTAAGAGACTCTTTGGAAATTTCCTAAGTTATCTGATAGTGTCCAGAAATAACAAGGCTTTTATTCAGTTCCAGCATTAAAATATTCAGGCAGAAGAATCATAGAACGGTTTTGGGTTGGAAGGGACTGTAAAGCTCATGCTGTTCCAACCCTCCTACCATGAGCAAGGACACCTTCCACTAGACCAGGTTGCTCAAAGCCTCATCCAACCTGGCCTTGAACACTTCCAGGGAGGAGCAGCCACAGCTTCTCTGGGCAACCTGTTCCAGTGTCTCACCACCCTCACAACGAAGAATTTCTTCCTCATATCAAAGACCTCCCCTCTTCCAGTTTAAAGCCATTACCCCTTGTTTTATCAGTGCTATTGTAAAAAATCCCTCCTCAGCTTTCTTGTAGGCCCCCAGAGAATGTCCTTCTCTAAGTGCTCACTGGTTCTATAGATTTCATCTTTGGACCAGAAAAATTGCTTAAATAAATCAGAAATAAAGCAAAAGAAATAGCAAAGAAATGACAACAGGAAAAGTTTCCTGCTTGATGTCCATCGTGACATGTGTTACAAGATGTCGGTGATAGGTTGAATAGTACAGCATGAGTCTTGCTCGGTCTAGTTGTGAACTTAGCTATATCTATAAAATCACTGTCTGAGAAAAATATTTATTTGCCAGGGAAAAGATTATTCAGGCCAAATGCAGGTTTGTACAGCTCTTGAAAATGGAATATTTATCTAGAAGCTGTGAAAATAACTTTCCATGAGCTGCTTCCTAAGCAGGCTCATGTGAATGCATGATCCGTAGTGCTCTGTGGGGATCCTAATGGTCTCCTGTAAAGCATCCTGTGATGTTTGGACCAAGAGAGCACTCATTTATCACCAGTTCCAGCTCTTCCAAATGACCTAAGTAGTGTGAAAGTGTACAGAAGCTTTGTATTTCATTTCCAGGTATTTAAGCCTGCTTTTTCCTAAACAGCCTTTGGGGAGGGAAACAAATCAGATCAATTGATCTTTAGAGACCTAAAGAAATTCAATTAGTCTGGAGTCAGTTACTGCACTAAACCATCCAGTAATTGGATTGCTCCTTGTAACTGATTGAAAATAGCCTCTATCTGTAACAATATAGGGAGCTTTTCTTTATAGTAGATCTGAGAGAAAAACACATCTTTTTATGACATGATGACAGAAATTGCACTTTTTTAACCTAATTGAATATGATTTTATAAATATGTGACTTTAACGATTTCAGGCTTCCCATTCTAGATTTATGATCCCTATGTAGGAAATTGAAGCTGCAAATGCCTTTAGGATTAAATCTGTTTGCATTATACGTGTCAGAGTTAAAATAATGTATGTAAAGGTAGTGAAATTTGCAAAATGGTAGGGGAGGTAGGCAACAACAAAGTTATTGAAGTGCCTGTATTTTCTTTTGTATGGTTTCCTTGTACTCAGAGCTATATATGCAAAGCTTTTAACCATTGGAAAAAATCTTTGGAGAGCTTGGTATATATCAAATTTTCAGTAGGATGTGAGATTCCTTCCGCAATCAACTCTTTCCATACATTACTTGTGGTAATCTATTTATGGCAACGGGGCAGACTTTATCTGGGGCTACTGTGATTTAGATAAGTTGCTGATTCACCTTTTGATCTTTTTATGTGGTATTTACATTTCCTCTATTACAAAAAGGTGCCTGCAGTGACTGCCATTGAAAAACTGAATGTTTAGCAGCAATTGTCAGAATGTGGAGCTTAATGTACCAGGGCATTGAATACGGAATGCCAAATGCAGTAATGTGGATGGGCGTGATCTTTTTTTAATGGTAACCTTTGTGAAAAAGACTAATGCAGGTTTTATAATGAGCATTTCACTCTGGAGACAGGCTTTAAGGGAATAGGTATATACTTCTGCTCAAGAAAAAAACTGTCAAAGCCATAAAGGATGCAAAATTAGAACCCAACAGATTATTTTTTTTTTAATCTTGAGCCTCAATTTATCTTTTTTGTTGTTGCGAAGAGTTAACCTCTTAAAAATAAATAGATAAATAAAACCATGGCAATCAAATATCATGCAGACAATCCAGTGAAAAAGGTGACCATTTCAAGAGTGTGAGTGAACAGAACTACTGAACTGTAAAATAATAATCAAACAAGAATTGACAGCTCATAGTCATGATCTGAATGTTGCTTGTCTGATCCAGCATGTGATAGGCAAGTTCGGGGTCTGGACTTGTAACTATTAAAGAGACCTAAGGGGCTGTACCCATCTATAAGAGTCCAATAATGCTTCTGGGAGGTAGATACATACATGGGAGGCAATATGGAAAAGTATGGCTGCACACCCAAGTAATTTTTAGGCAGAGAAAGGAAGGATTAGGGGATGGTGGAAGTAAGAAGAGAGCTGCATCCCACCTGGATTTGCATGGTAATCAGATTCTGAATTTTCCCGAGAGACTTCATGTCTGAGATGTGGAAATACATTGTACTGGCTTACAAGGCTGTAAGCAAAATGGATGCTAATGCCTAGATATGGGCACTGCCCTGCTGAAATAGCAGTCAAAGCCGTGAAGCCATGTGCGTACTGATGTGCTGTCACAGCAGTCCTCTCTTCCATCCCTTCCCTGCTCACCCCACAGAGCTGCTTTCCTCCCCATTTCACTTCTTACCATTGGTCTAAAACTTCCCTGACTCTTGAAAACCCCCTACCAACAGCCAGAAATACATTCTTTCTCCAACCTACTCCCATGTCCACAGTTGAGTAGGGCTTTGTCGTAATTCTCCAGCAAGTCAAACTTACTGACTGATCTTTTATCCTCACCTAGTTCTCAGTCCGCAAATGTCAGCAACCAGCCATGGGAGATCAACTCCAATGCTTAGGTTGGAAAAAGAAGTGAAGTCCTGAGTTTATAGACAACATCAGGGACTCCAGTACCTAAATGCCTGTTATCTGGTGCCATTCCAAATGTGCTGAGGTGACTCCAGCCTCCAGCTGCTGCTCCAGAGGTGTAGATGAATTGTCTGTAATTTCTGTATCATCCCTTCCAAACCATTGCAGATGGCTTGGATGTCTTAAGACATCTAGAAAGCACTACCTACCTACACAAAATCATAGAATTATTTGGTTGGAAAAGACCTTTAA